GATGGATTAAAAACAAGGCAATGCCTTTTTGAAATATCTTTAATCTTCCTTCCATTTTAAATTACCGCCGCCCAATTTTATTATAAATGCATAAAATTCGGAGTCTAATTATCAATGTCAATAATCGGTTCACTTTGCTTCTTTTTAATCAAGATTCACATAGTAATACTTTAATAAAATTCAAAATTGTATTTTAAAATTGTTGAATTTATCGATAATCATACTTTGGTAATGTATTAAATATGTTATTAAAATATGAACACTCTTAATACAAAATTGTGTTTTAAAATCGACCAGCTCGTTGATTACAATATTTTAGTAATTTATTAAACATGGTATTAAAATATGAACACTCTTAATTCAAAATTGTGTCTTAAAATCGTTCAGCTTGTTGATTACAATATTTTAATAATTTATTAAACATGGTATTAAAATATGAACACTCTTAATACAAAATTGTATTTTAAAATCGTTGAAATCGTCGATAATAATATTTTCGTGATTCTTTAAATACAGCATTAAAACATAAACTCCCTTAATCCAAAATTGTATTGATAAAAATCGTTGACGCGGCAACAATATCTCAGTAATTCTTTCGATATTGTATTAAAATATAAACACTCGCAAATTAAAATTGTATTTTAAAATCGTCCGGATCGTCGATAATAATATTTTCGTAATTCATTAAACGTAGCATTAAAATCCGATGATCGGCGATTTCGGTGTAAATTTTATCGACGAGTTAAAACGAAGGGATGAATTAGGGTACCGTTCTCGACGGACAACGCAGCAAAAGACATAATTCGCGCGTAATCGTCGAGGATTTCCGCGCTTCGGTCTGACCGCATGAATGGCTTCAAGGGGTTAGGGTTGCAGGAAAGGGTTGTAGGCGTCCGGCGACGACCTCCCCGGCATTTTCCAACGGTGGATACGAAAGGGACGAGCGTCGAGGGTGAAAATATATCGGCTCGGCCCATTACCGGGCACCCGTGGAGACCGGTAATTTGAATATCCCTTCCGATCTCGTTACGTATGCAGTCGTCGAACCTGATTTCTCCCAGCGAATGCGCAGCCGGCAATTCCGAAAAT